GCCTGGAATGTTCCCAGGGATGGGGCCTCCACCCCCTCTCTGGGCAACCTGTTCCAGTGTTTCACCACCCTCATCGTAAAGAATTTCTTCCTTATATCTAGTCTAAACCTACCCTGGTTTAGTTTAAAACCATTACCCCTTGTCCTGTCACAGCTGGCCCTACTAAAAAGATTTTCCCCATCTTTCCTGTGGGCCCCCTTTAGGTACTGAAAGGCCATAATCAGCTCTGCCCGCAGCCTTCTCTTCTCCAGGCTGAACAAGCCCAACAAGTCATCATCCAGGGATGACATCAGCTGGGAGTACACCATTGAGGGCAACACACCTGGAATAAGACAATCATCTCCAGGCCTGGAACTAGCCCTGGCTCAGGGGCAAAGTGGGGGAATTTCATCCCAAATCTGTTGCACAGAGAAGAGAAAAAGAGGGCAAAGTGTCTGGCCGCACTGCGCGTCGTGATTATCAAAAAAATCTATGCAGACGGAGGGAGGAACTGGATGTTCTGCAGAACATTTGGAAACAGATTAAAACTAGATTTCTCCGCCAGTGCTTTAGGTGAAAGGAAAATTAATGTTGTGATTATACTGATATTTATTAAATACAAATTTGTGTTGGGGCCACGGGACATTCATACAGTGCAAGTACAGTACAACCTCTGAAATGAGCTAAGTATTTCTACCATGCAATTGCTACTGATATTCCCAAATCTCATTTATAAAAATAGGCATATGTGTGTAATTTATATATCTGTAGACATTTGGCGACGTTGCCACAACAGTCTTTCACGAGCTGTTTATGTGGAATCGTGGGAGAGTGAAACTAATTATCTGTGTGGTACATTTTTTGCCTCTAAAAATTATATGTGACAATATGACATCTTTACTTTGCTGGCAGTAAAACCACCTGTCCTGCTTAGAGAATGATCTATTAAGAATATCAGGTAATGCAGTGCAACTCTAAAATAAATTTAAATAATGTCCTTTTGATATGCTGTCAAAATCCCGAGGTAATAAGGGGCTATGCAAACTTGTTATTTGGCCCAAATCACTGAGCATATTCCTCCTCAATCCTATCAAATTATGCTCTCCAATAAATTATTTTACAGTAGCAGTTACAAAAATATGGATGAATATGATCAGGAAAAAGTCACACCTGTTACGTGTTCCGAAAGAAATACTCGACAGCTTTTGAAATGTGGGTTTCTGGGTTTAGTTATAAGCAAAACATTACTTCAAATTTGTGACCTTTCCTTACTACTTGGGAAAGGGTAAATACTTCAAAAATTAGTAACTGCTAATACAGTAATAATAACATCTAACGATTTTATAAATAAGAATGTTTAAATGATATTTATTTGTAAAGTTGTCCAGATGGGGGCAGAGCCCATCAACTTTTGATAGACTGATGTGGTCAGAGAAAATGGAGATACTGGCCTAGGTACCATGTTGGTTGTTAGAATCATAGAATCATTGGAAAAGCCCTTTGAGATCATCGAGTCCAACCTTTAACCTAACCCTGCCATCCCACCTCTAAACCATGTCCCTAAGCACCTCATCTATCCTTCTTTAAATCCCTCCAGGGATGAGGACAGTGCTTTGCCACGTCTGCTACAGCTTTATGCGTACCGCAGCAAAGATGAAAGTTTGTTCCAAGTCGTGTAACTCTGACCTGACAAGCTGGTCGTCTTGGAGCGTGGCTTAATCCCTTGCGGTCTCTGATGATCCATCGAGCTCCATATGCGAGGTCAGATCATAGGATGGGTATTTTCATAACTGCTAGTGCCTGCAGCCATACGGGTTGAGGAGAGGTGGTAATTTAGTAGAGTGACAAAAAGGCTTAAGAAAAATTTAGTATCATGGGCCGTCTTTTTAAGAATATTTGACAGTTCCAAGCCAGTAGCTAAAGGAAAGCTGTAATTATTTTCAAGAGGATTAGATGAGAAAGATTTGGGGAGCTTATTTATTTTGTTTTGTTTTGATGTTTTAATAGCAATTTTAATTGTTTTTTAATCTATCTCTTGAGCAACTTTAATCTCTCATTGACTGCAAAGAGTTTGGGATATTCTGCTAGAATTGTAGGAAATTAAATATATTGTTGATCATTATTATTTTATCCCCTCTCTTCCCTTTGGCTAATAGGAATTATTAATTTTGAGTGGGGGTGTACATATGTGTACATGTGTGTGTATATATGTAACGGCCTGTTCTTCTTAAATATGTATGTGTATGCAGAATCAACTAAAACCAAGGCTGAATGACCTAGCATTTGTCCTTCTTCTATATAATATAGAGGATAGAATTAAGGCCCATATACATCAAATGTAATTTATTTATCTGAGCAAAGTTACACATTTATTTTAGGATTTTGTGAGAATGGATCTCAGAACATCTCTTTTTCCAAAGTACGGACACAAAGTGGTAGCTAAATCAGTCCTGTGAAAATAACATGAGATGTTGTTAAACCCAGGCACTATTATGGTGGTGATGGATGGAAAACCCTGTATATATATTTCTTTCATTGGTGATGACACTATAGTATAAAACCTTGATCATTCAAGATGATTTCAGCAATTGGATAAATATCCCTAATGCAGCGCCCAGTGAAATGAATGGCACAGTCAGATTTTTTCCAGGGATAATCAGAACCCTGATAATATACCTTGATTACCAGATTTTTTAGAAAAATTATTAAAATCCGGAGGCTAAACATATTCCCATCGCAACTGCATCGAAGATTTTGTGGGCAGTCACCTTACTGGTTTTGGCTGTAGAGCTGCTGAAGAAGGAGCATGGTGGTAGAAGAAGTACGAGAGAGAACTAACTTAATGAATTTGGAGAAAATATGTAGGTGATCCTCTTCCTCTTTTTCTCTTTTGCAATATCAGAACCACTGACAGCAAAGAACTTTTTCATAGGATCAAAGTGAGCAAGTGCTGGAAGTATAGTTGTAGAAACACCATTCTTTTGGTAATGATTCCTTTAGAGGATTGCCACTGTATTTTTGCTTGTCTTAATGGTCAAATTTGCAGCAACATCTGTCTCCTTAGAGCCTATGTTGCCGTGATGCACTTATACCAACACACAAATACACACACACACTTATATATGTTATACCCATATAAAACACACATGTGCACACAGTCATTCTAAACGTACAAATTGCCTCATCTGATTTTTGCTATTTTTACAGATGTATGCTGAAGATATAGAAAACTCTTCTTTTTTACTAGTAAATGACAGCCGTCTAGCCAGAGAAAAACAGTACCAAGGAATTCTCAGAGTAGGTATGTGGCTCATTGGAACACCATCCTTAAGAGCAGGAAAAATATGAAAAAATGTCAACTGAAAATATCCTGACAGGTGTAAATCTGCTCTATTATACAGAGAGACAAAATCATTCTGTTCTGTATGTCATCCTGTAAATTCCATTAAAAATCTTTTGGTTCCCCTCCTCCAAAAAACTAGTCTTCATTCAACAATCCAACTACTTGAGTTTATATTTAGGTCTTTTCCTCCTTCGTGTGCATTAGTTGCAGGCATGACCAGTGAACCGTGCAGAGGAAGGAAAAGATCAGAAAGAAAATAAACCCGCACATTATTCTTACACGCTTACGACATACAATCTTACACGTGTGTGTATGTACGCTTGTGTATGTATTGTGTACATCTGTACATCTGTTCTCCTCCTGGATCCCACAGGGCTGTTACTCCCCTCACCCACCACCCCTTAGTTGCCATTTGAAATATTGGAATTAAATAATAATACCAAATTAAGCACACAAAAAGGTAAATGGAACAAGTTACCCCCGGTGCATCCTTTCATTTGATTAAGGTATCTGCACATTCATTTTTGCTTTACGGTATAATTTCTTTAAAATGTCTCCTTCACAGTGTTTCCTTTGTGGGTTGGTTTTAAAATTGTCATGCTAGATCGAAGAGCACCAAAAAGCAGAGGAGGCGGAGGATGAGAGAAGAAAAGAGCGAATATGGAGGAGAAAATCGAGTATGACCTGCAAGTACAGATGAGACCAAACTCCCGAAGAGCCTTCGGGCCGGGAGGGTCACCTTCCTTAGGAGCAAGGAGAGGTCCCCGAGAGTTTGCAAGGCACAAGAGGTGGAAACGAGCGAGCGCCGCAGGGAGCATTGCAAAGGCAGTTTCACAGCTCCGGGCTCGCTGAAGTAACGCGAAGCGTTTCGCTTCGGAGAAGCTTCTCTGAGCGGCCAGGCAGAACTTTGTAAAACCTCAGCTCTGCCTCTGTCGGTGTTGGGAGCAGCCTGGGACAGCGTTTAGAAAGCGAAGAGGTGGCAGTTGCCCCTCACCAGAGTCCCCGCTCTTTACATTCCCTCTTCCCTTGGGAAGCTGCTGGCAG